GGCTTTTTTCTTTTTGCTTATGTGGTGCTGAGGAATCGAACCCAGGGCCTCATGCATGCAAGGCAAGCGCTCTACCACTGAGCCACCTTCCCAGCCCCGCCTGTGAAACTCTTATCTCCAAATAATCACCAGAAAAGCAAAAGTGGTGCTGTGGCTCAAAGTGGAAGAGCACAGCCTTGAGTGGGAAAAGCTCAGTGAAAGCACCCAGGTCCTGAGTTCAAGCCCCATGACTAACACCACCACCAAAAAAGAAAAGTGTCACAGACTTTCGTGCCCAGGCTGGCTTTGAAATGCAATCTTCAGATCTCTGCCTCCTGAGTAGCTAAGATTACAGGTGTGAGCCACTGGCACCTAATCTTATTTATGTAGTTTTGGGGTTAACATTGTCTTTTCTATTGTAAACTCAAGGAAGACAAGAACCAAGGCCATCTATCATCCTATGTACTCCTACTGTTTGGCATATACTAGGCAGTTAAATATTACAGGTGAATCCAAATATGTGTATGTACGATGTATGTTATGCTGCACTGGGATTTGAACTCGGCCTACGTTCTTGCTTGGCTTTTTCACTCAAGGCTAGTGTGCTACTACTTGGGCTTGACATCTACTTCTGTAAAGCAAAAATGTTCTCTTTTATCCTTCAATACTGGAGTTTGAACCCAGAGCCTCATGCTGTACTTCAGACATATCCCCAATCCTTATTCTTCAGATTAAGATACCAGATTTTTACACACAGCTTGCACATGGACCATCCTATCTAAACCTGCTGGATAGCCAGGATTAAAGATGCATAACATCATGCCTCCATTGTTCTTTCAGATAGGGCCCTGCTTAATTTCTGCTTAAGCTGGTTTCTACCCTGATCCTCCTATTTCTGCCTTCTAAGTAGATGGGATTATAGATATGTGAGCCATTGTAATGAGGTAAAACTGTTCATTCTTTAGATGGCTCTTCTTCTATAGCTGTAATAAAATTTGGCATTTTGTGTAAAAGAACTATGCTAGCATACCTGTTAACCCAGGTAAGGAGGTTTATGATTTTTGAGTCCAACTTGGGCTATACAATGAAACCTATTTCAAAACAACACGTGCCACAAAGACACATGAACACCACCATTTTTTTTAGTGGCAGTTCCCACCAAATACATATTATAAATCTAAAAGCACAAGGTGCTTCAAAAATAATCCAGTAAAAAAGTTTTTGATTTTTTTGCATACCCAAACATTTTCAATAAGGAATCTATCACTACTGTCTACACAGGAATTTCAGCCCACCTTTAGTGGTATCACCCACCCAAGTCACTTCCACCAAGAAATCCCCCTATCATGAGGATTTACTGACAACCCCAACTTTGAAGTCTACAACAGGTTCTTCATTGCCTTTTAAACAAAATCTTTTTCTGATTGTTTTTGGGCTTCAGGGCCTGGACACTGACCCTAAGATTTTGTGCTCAAGGCTAGTGGCTCTACCACTTTGAGCCACAGCTCCACTTCTGGTTTCTGGTGGTTAATCCAAGTCTCATGGACTTTCCTGCCTAGGCTGGCTCTGCACTCCGATCCTCAGATCTGTTTCCTGAGTAGCTAGGATTATAGGCTTGGGCCACCAGTGCCCAGCTCAAAGTCTTAATTTAGAACACAGTTACAGGACACTAAGTACATGGTCCCTCTTTATCTTCTCATTCTTTTCTCCTTTCCCTCTATTGATTCCTCCAACTCCAGCTATACCAGTCTGGTCAAAGTTATCAATGCATGATGTTGTACCACAAACCTTTTGCACGATACAATTTCCTTTTTTTTTTTTTTTTTAAACCTGGCTCCTTCTGATACTCCAGATTTCAGTTTAAACATTTTCTCACAGAAGCATTCATTCTGCTTTTGTTGATCCTTGTCTTTAATCATCAGAGCATTTGGGGCATAACTTTTACTTATCTGTACTGTTCTGTTTAATGTGTCTTTGCTACTAGATTCTTGGGGAAACTTAACAAGGCTTTCAACACTCATCATCCACAGGCTAGCAGATGGTAGGTGCTTAGTAAATATTTGGCTTTAGATAACTTTCTTGGGACTTTTCCCCCTGAACTACATCTGCCAAATATTTGTAAGCTTGTTTTGCTGGTGCTGAGGATTGAACAAAGGGCCTCATGCATGTTAAGCAAATGCTCCCGCACTGAGCTATACCATCAGCCCCCTTAGCAAGTTTGTTTCTTGCCTCGCCTGGTTACCTTCCTTAAAGGGGTTCAAACCTCCAAATACAGTGTCATGCCTGCAGGTACAGAACAAGCATGACAGAACAGAGTAGGCTTTCTAGATCTTGATCAACACTACAGGCTATATGTCAGGGCGCATTAGTTTACTTTGTGGTGGGAAACAGAGCAACAATTTTCCGAGTTATACAAAGTAAGCAAGTTTGACTTTCCCAGTAAGAATAAACAAGTTGTGGTAAGAGAATCAAACGTTGGAGGCCAGTCTAGGTAACATATTGAAACCCTATCTCAAAACTACAGACCCTTCCCCACAAAGACAGTAGAGCCTTCACATCTGCAGGTACATCGTTGTGAGACTACTGTTGAGGAAAAACCATGAATGTCAGGTGCACGGACATCAAGCCTATATATAACCCTAGTTATGCAGAAGGCTGGTATCTAAGGATCCTGGTTTGAAATCAACCCAAGCATATGTATCTAAAAGATTCTGATCTCCAACACAACAGAGCTGGAAGTAGAGGTGTGTCTTAAACCAGAGTATAAGTCCCAGTACCAGCACAAAAACCAAAACCAGGATAGAGTTCAGGATATTGAGTTTAGTATGGCACTTCGGAAGTTTAATTTTTCCCATAAAGCTGCCTCACCTCCAGTAGCATCATACCACCTTTGAAAAAGTACAAATTTTTCAAAATTTAGTAATTTCTAAAAATTTATCATTTAATAAGCACACAGCTGGACACCAGTGGCTCATGCCTATAATGCTAGCTACTCAGAAGGCTGAGATCCAGAGGACCAAATTTTGAAG